GGGGATCCCCAGCCTCCAGGTACAGAAGTGTATGCAGGCCCTGGGGACACCTGGGGGACAGGGGCCGCACCTCAGCAGTATGTAGGGCAAACCTTAGCCTAAGGTTCTCTCCACGCTCTGCTTTTTCTTTCACGTATTCATCTCCCAGATTCAACTATCTCTTGCAATGCACAGGACCAGCGCCAGGACACCTGCAGCCAGCAGCATCCAGGGGCGCACAGTCCCCACGTGTCTAGCACAGCACAGAACCCCAACACACCCTGCCTCGAGCCCCCGTCACCTCTGGATGACTTCTGACCTCAATGCAGTGAAAACACTGTGTCCAGAGTCGTCACCTTGGATTGCTGGGGGTAACAAGAAGCCAGGACGGGACGCCCCTGTGCAGATGCAGCTGCGGTGTGGCCATGTGTGTCCCTGACTCACTTCTCATCTGTGGCTGGGGGAAGAGTGCTCCGGTGGCCAGGGCTGACCAGGAATCTGAGCAGCTTAGGAGGGGAGATGAGGGGCCCTGTGTCAGATCCTGTCCCCTGTCTTACGGAAACTGATGCATGTAGGGTCTAAGCGTGACTTGGTGACCTCTGGGTGGGTTGTCAGGGCAGCCTCCACTGGCCCCTGGTGTCTGCCTCCCAGGGCATGCGGCTGCCTTGGTGGTGATGGAGTCAGCCCTGGGGTCTAATTATCTGGGTAACTCATTCTCTCGAAGAATGTGCTATCTATATACGCACTTGCTCCCGACTTACCACAGGTCATGGCCCAAGCAACCCAGTGTTGGACAAAGTACGCTGTGGAGTACCTCTGGCCGCACACAGCACCCAGCACCTACCCTGCAGGTGGGCACCGTCACCGTCCTGGGAGAGACTGCTGCCCGGCTGCTGGGAACACCGTGCTTTGGACCCAAGCCGGCCCGACTCCAACTCCAGACTCCGACCATAGCTCCTGCTGTGCCTGTCCTTCACCGCAATGTGGAAATCTCGTAAATCGGGCTCCACGCACAGGAGCCACCTGCAGACAGTGTGGTTAAACAACCTCAGGTGTGGTCCTTGTGACCTTAACACTGGCCAGAGCCAGACTGTAGAGGTGGAATCCCAAGATAGGCAATGTTTTTCTTCAGAGGCTCCCTCCCTCAGCCTTATTTGTTTAATTGTAAACCCCCTTTATTGCAGTAACCCCAGCATTCAGGGGCCTGTTTAACACGTGCGCTTCAGTCATTTCCACGCTTGTGTGAGCCCAGACACGGTCACAGTAGCAGGGGGAACACACACCCACAGCACCCCAAAGTCCTCACACAGCAGAGCGTGGGGCCGCTCCTCACATCCAGCCCCTCTCCACCCCGGCGGCCCGCTGGCGTGTGCTGGAGTCTGAGACAGATCATCTGCTCTGCCTGGTGCTTCACTCCACACCATTGTTTTGGGGCTCACAGAGTTGAGGCACATGTCACGGCCACAGTATGCCATTGTGTGGGATTCCTGGAGCCCATTTCCCCTTCACTGACTGACGGACACTGGGCAGTTTAGACTTCGGACCACTCCACACGAGCAATGGCTATTCACACCCAGGCCTCCGTATGGACCAAACGTCCTTCCCGTTAGGAGAGGCAGGAATCTCAGCAGCAGGCACGTCAGGCTTACATGCTGGCCGGTTGCCCAAGTGTTGGACACCTCACTCTCCTGCCGGCCGGTTTCCCACACCCACGTTCCCTGAGTGTGCAACGGTCTCTCGTTCTGCAGACTTTGGAAGCTCCCTCAGCCGTTCACTCACTCGTAGGTCTTTGGTAGGTTCGAGCAGGCATTCTGCCTGCATGATCAAGCACTCTGTGCCTAAAGAGAGCTTCATCTGAGCAGGCGAGGCTCCTTGCGCCCCTTCTCTTGTCTCATTACCCTGACTGCTTCCTCCGTGCCACGTTCAATCAAAGCAGTGAGAACAGAGGTCCCGCGCGGCTGCAGGGAGTGAGCGTCTGCCCCTCACCCTCAGGTGAGGCTCCCCCCACCTGCAGGCTCACACAGGCTCTGGCGTCTCACCGGGGAAGGGGGCTGGGGGTCGCGCAATGGTTGTTCTGCCGCTATTGGGAGGACCCCAGGGCTTTACCTTTGTGGTTGGGCAGTGTGAGGAGTTACACTGATGGGTTCTCCGATGTTAGTGGCTTGCTTTCCTGCCTGCGTTTCTTTACGTGAAATAGCACCCTTTCTTATACCGTCCACCTGCTAGCTTTGTACCTGGAATTCTCATTTTGTGTTCACGAGTGTGAGAAATTTGTTCACTTGTCCAGGCTCCAAGAATGCGCTTTGGAGGCAGGAAGAGCAGCAGAAGCAAAGCCTTAATCCCGTCTGTCAAGGCTGGGCGTCTGGTGCGCAGGCCCCCCCGGGGCGGTGAGAGCCCAGGCAGCCCGGCACACAACTCCCCACCTCCTGTCCCTCATTGGCGGGGCACGGGCGGGGGAGGAGGCAGCAAAATCTTCCCCAAAGACGCTTATGAGTTGCCTGGTCGCCTTCCAACTTGAGCGCAGATCTCTTCCCAGTACTGTCTATTCTTCACGGTGGGGCTTTCTGAGAAGCAGACGCTCCCGTTCAGGGACCTTGGACCTTGTGACTATTATGTTTCTACTCAGCCTTAGCTATCAGGCCTAGGATACTTTTGCTTAACAAAGGCTTTCTTTCTAGTTTATTCCTCCTTAAGGTCCCGTTGGCTTAGAGACCCTCTGAACGCTTGAACCTTGTCAGGAAGTTAGGCTATTTTAACTGCCAGTAATTTTCCACTCACAGTTAACTATTTCATCCCGAAAATGGACCACTTTAAGTTTATTTTTCTTACATGAGGGACACTGGCCTGCAACATTTGCTTATTGTACTGCAATTTTTTATTAAATAGAGCAGTACTGGCCTTGCGGAATAAAGAGAGTTGCACTGATTCCTTTGATTTTCTGGAAGCGTTGTGTACACTGGGCATGGTCTTTGCCTTAATAAGGAAGCCATTTGGACCTTCGGTGTCTGTCCTTTATAGCAACATTGTGAGGTTTTTCTTTTTAACTTTGATTCAGTTTCTTCCACAGTCATAGGGAGCTTCCCATTATCTATTTCTGCATGAGTGGGTGTGGCAAAGAATCTGCCCATCTCATCCAACTGGCTGAATGTACTGGCCCATAGCGGCCCACATTGTGGCCTAACTGTCCTTTTCGTAACCAGGGTATCTGTAAATACTCCTTCTTTCCTTCCCAGTAGCAGTGATTTCTCTCTTCCTCTCCTGATCAGTATGGTGAGAGGCTCATCAATTTCATTGATTTTCTTAAAGAACTGGCTTTTTGACTGTTTCTGTCATTTGTTTTAAATGTTGCTCTGTTTTCTTCTGTGTTAGTGATTTTCACGCTGCTCTTTATTTTCTTTGTTCTGTTTAAATTTTTGGATGTCTTAGGGTAGAAATGGGAACTCACTGATTTGAATTTTTTTTCTTAATATTTTCTTTAAGGGCTATCAATGCCCCACCCATGCCTTTGATGAATACACACACACACACACACACACACACGTGTGTGTGTGTGTGTGTGTGTATTTTACAATTTCTCATATTTCATTTTGGTTCATTTTTACATCTCATATCTAGCTCAAAATATTTCTTATATTCTTTTCACTCAGTCTACGATCCATGACTTACACAGAAATGTTAAGTTTTCAAATACGGGGAGATTTTCTAACAATCTTTCTGAAATTCACTTCTGACCCAATTCCATTTTTTTTCTTCAGTTCCTGTGTTTATTGGTACATGTGTGCCACGTATAACAATTACCTTCTTCTTCGAGAGTTGGCATCTGCACACGACACACCCCTCCCTCCTCCCCCTCCGTCCGTCTCTCTGGCCCCTTCCCTTCTGCAAAGGGCCTCTCTGTTTTCTATTATCTGTCTTTTAGTTTGCTCTTTACTTGATCCCACTGTGATAATAACATGTTTTGTATAACTTTATTTCTTTTTCTATCAGTAAATTTTATTTCATCGCATTCTCCCTCAAACCCCCTCCCTTCCCTATGTACAAAACTGTATACCTTTAATCCTCTTAAATTTTTTGAAACTTGTCCTGGGGTATGGAGCACTGTCCTGAACATGGCCTTGAGATGGTGCCCCCTGCTGCCTGGTGACCCACTCCGCTCTACAGATGGCAACTGGGTCCATGCTTGGTGGCCCTGCTCACGTTTTCTACATCTTTACTGACTTCCTGTCTACTTGCCCTGTGCAGTGTTGAGAGGGACACATTTATTTAAATCCCCAACCATGACTGGGATTTCTCTGTGGCTCCTGGCCACCCTGTCAGTCTTTGCTTCCTGAATTTTCAAGCTCAGTTCTGCAGTTGGGTGTGGGAATGTTTAAAAGCCTCAATTCTTACTGATACCGTGGCCCTGTTTTCATCACAAAATGATCTTTCAATGCCTTTTCCTACCAATTCTAGTATTAGCATTTTTCAAGGTAATTCTCAATTGGTCAGTTTCTCTCCTCCATGGGGGTCTTGTTGTCCAGCATGCCTGGTCATTGTCGTGGACCCCAGACATGGGAAAGTGTGCTGTATTAGGCAATGGATATTTTTCTAGTCCTGAAACTACCGTGGAGCTTCCTTCTGGAGTGAAGTGAAGGTGCTTGGAAGCAGGTTTGTCCTTTGGAGTCCTGTTTTTAGGATTGGCTCAGAACCGCAGCAGTGCTCTATGGATAGCTGTTCCCACTCCTGGGCTGCGCCTGTGCCCTCTGCTAAGTGGCCTGAGTCTGGTTGGTTCGAGCTCTGGTCTGGATGGGTACGTGGGTGCAACCACAGCCCTCGTGCACACCAGGACTGTTTCGTCCCAGCTTCCCTCCTCCCTCAGGATCTTCCCTTACAAGCACAGGCTGATGAATGCCCTGGGGGCCTCTCTCCACAGACCTCTGTGGCCTCCCTCGGGACCGCTCCCTTCCCTGTGCCTGTCCTGGGGACTCCTAAACACCCAGCCATGTCGCCACTCACCTGCCCATGGGACAATCGCTGCTTACCTGCTTCGTTTTCTGTCCCTCGGAGTTCGTCTTTTGAGTCTTGTGAACAATGTCACAAAATCCTTTGTTTCCTGTGGTCTATCCGTGTTGGGCTGTTTCTCGAGGAGAGCCCCTTGGTTTCATCTCCCACGGAAGCAGAAACCCTGTACAGAATCTTTCCGGGGTTCCCCTGTCTCTCCCTATTCTGCTCCTCCTACCCCGCTCTTCCTCCTCTCCCTCTCTGCTCCTTCTCCTCTTCCTCCACTCCTCCTCCTACTGCTCCTCCCCCTGCTCCTCAAACTCCTCTTCCTCCTCTACCACCTCCACTTCCTGTTCCTACTCCTTTTTCTCCTTTTTCTCTCCTTCCCCTCCTCCTCTTTCTCTTCCAGCATCAGCGAGACACTGCCTGTGCCCTGGGCCCATCTGCTGTGTAGGTCACCTGACATTCAGCGACCCAGTCCGCCTAGCCACTTCCTGGCTCTGAACGGTATGTGACTGTCCCCAGCCTTTCCTGCTGTCCCTCGGCCGCTAGCCTTGCCCATCTGCACCTGGCCCACTTTGGCCAAGGGCTGGGCACATTCTTTTTCTCTCCTGTGCATTCCCAACATTGTTGACCTTTCCGCCCTGCCCTCTGGCCACTCCGCCCGGAGACCACAGAGCCTAGAATCTCTGTGCCATTCACTCAGTGTTTTTGCTTTTTTTTTTTTTTAAGACAAATGCAGTCATATGTTTGGCTGTGTGTTACTGCCTGAAAGCGGGACTGCGCCCTGTGTATGGGAGTGTGTGTGGCCGGGGAGCAGGGAACATGCTCAGAGAAGCCACCACCCTCAGCAGCCACCCACCTGCCCTGTGGATTAAACACTGGGCACAGAAGGGTCAGGGTTAAGGGCAGCACGAGTGACTCCGACATCAATTCTTGAGCTAATCTGCCAGGGGAAAGATCAGCCGGCCTCACTTGGGAATTGCTGTTTTTCCCTTTGGAGGCATTCCGAGAGAAAATTGAAGGCTATGGTTCTAATCCAAATGTGCTTGAGGTGCACTTGCAGCTGCTGTTGGCTTGGACTGGGGCTCAGATCAGCTGTACCCACCCCTGCACCCACCGTCACTGGGCTCAGCTCCTGCACAGTGCCTGCAGGGGACAGAGCCTGGGAGCTCGCCACCCCTAGGGGAAGCTCTTCAGTTCTCCCTTCTTCTATTTCTCCAAGAAGGGCTGTCTTTACAACTTTTATTATAATGTGCTGCTTTATGCACAACAGTGAAGCTTTACTGCAACATATGCCCATTTTATACATTCATGCCGAAAGCATATTTTAAAAATCCACAGTCAGAGGCTCATAATGCAATATTAAACCCATCCCATATTTCCTCCATGCTTTCATAAAAAAGCACTCAGTCCCTTGGAAAATGTTATTAAGAACTTTGACTCAGGGATGCAGGATGTTTCTGGTGTATGGGTGGCAGTGGAGTAGACGCAAGAGGACCCACCGTGGGCCCAGGCAGGTGGCGAGCAGCCCCTCCGCCGAGGGAGGAGCTGCAGCATTGAGATACGACCAGTGTGCAGGGGGACATTTGTTCACTGGGGGTGTGGGGGCAGCCAGAAGGCAAGGCTGAGGGAGAGCTGTGTACTCCTTTTTGGGAAATGAGCTGTCACGTCCAAAATTACATGCGGTTATTTATAATCAACAGGAGATTTCCAGCCAGACTGCAAGAAATTGAAACAATACCTTGAGCAATTCCAGCCTTTTTGGATTAGCATCTGGTCTCAGGAAATCCCCGTAAACCAGGTGACTCTGACTATTACAGATTGTGGATTCGGTGTCCTGGGTCTAAGCCCAGCAGATTTGTTTCGAGATTGAACCTGGCCCCGGGCGTTATTCCTGCGACTAAGCGACCTCACAGTGAGGAGCTCAGTGCCTTATCCCCACACCAGGCCTCACCCACCAGCACTCTGGCTGTTAAAGCCACCTTTGCTTTTTACGTTTTCTTTTCATTAGTACAGTCTTCTTACATGAAATTATTTAAAACATAGTAATTACCGCATAGCATTTGGCTCATTCACACTGGCAGACAGTGATAGGCGTCCTGGGCAGGGTCACTGCCTTCACAAGCCCTGCTGGTGGGGGCAGCTGCCAAGGGAAGGTGTGTGCTGGGTAGCAGCCACTGCTGGGGTCATGGAATGGGGAGATATTAGGGCTGGGGGTACGGAGGGAGAGTGATGGTGAGAGACGCCCCACGTAATCCTGAGCTGTCTTCTACCACCAAGGGTGTTCCAAGGACACAGACAGGCAAGGAGGTGCCCAGGGTGCCTGGGATCCACATTCCACTGGCCCCATGCCCCTGAGCCCTGCCCTTGAGGTCCTACAGAGGCCTCCAGGACAGCTGCCCTTAATCACACTGGCCACTGGTGTCCCCTTGACCTCCCCTCTCCTCCCTGAAAGTCAGGATGGGGCTGAAAGCCTGGTGGCATCTTTGAGAAGTGAGGCTGGGAAGTGACCCTCAGGACTGCTGGGCAATTCTCTGCACTACCTCTTCCCCACACAAAGCCAGCTCCCTCCAGGGTTGAGTGGCAGTGACACGGATGCCAAAGTCCACACCCCTTGCTACAAGGGATGGCAGGGGCTCCCTGCAGACTCTTCTGCCCCCTTCGTGCTCCTCCAGGGTAAGGAAAGAAACGTTAGAATAGGGTAAATGAAAGAAAGAAGAAAAGAAGATGAGCATGAAGCCCTACCCCCTCCCCAGTCTGCAGTGTCCCTTGGCCCTGCCAAGCCGGTCTGTGCGCATCCAGCCTCTCCCAGGCCTCCCGTGACCTTGTGCTCCACGGATGCAGCCCCTTTGCCACCCTCACTTCCCAGGTTCCTCAAAGGACACCCTGAGCACCTCCCTGCTAGGCCTCTGCACATTCCACTCCACCCACACGCAGCCTCCTCACCTCTGAGGTCCCTGTGACTGCCTGGACCCCAGCAGCACCCCTGACATGCATGACCAGGAGACACTGTGACTCAGTCCCCACTGGGTGGGCAAAGGGGCCCTAGGACGTGGCAGCTGAGCTATGTTTGCCATCCCCAGGCAAACACCGGGCCTCTGTGTCCTCACTGCAGCCTTGCTGGGGGAGGATCCTTGAGGGTCCCCCAGCTGGAAGTTGCAATGACACATTCCTCAGCTGCAGTGGGGCTGGAGCCAGAGTGGCCTTTTCCTGTGGCTTTGATCCTCACACCATGCAGCCAGGTGTGGCAAGGGGAGGAAGAGATGGCAAGAGGCCATTCTTCAAGGACCTGGCCTTGGGCCTCCTGCCACCTCCTCAGCAGATGACTGGGGGCAGCCCAGCCTCAGCAGGCTGCAGTACATCCACTCTCAGGACAGGCACTGGCTACTGCTTGGAGGCCACAACCCGATTCCAATCTACCACCGATCCTACTTCAAATTTAAAGACGTTTGTGGACTTGATGTGACCACGATGACTTAACTTTTACCTCTTCTGCTAACTCTCAGCCTTGTGGGAGGAAAGAGGCAGCCATGTCCTACGCCCTGAAACTGGCCCAGGAGGTGCTGGATTGCCCAAGTGACCTGGTGTGGCCCGAAAGGGCTTCTAAGGACAAAGCCTCTTCAGACTAGGACCTGAGGACACAGAGACAGCCAAGGACAATTTCCTGTGATAAAACCCCATCACTGGTGTAAATCAGCCAGATAGGCACAGGATCCCTTAGGCTGCTGAGAACCTTAACTCCTGCCATGACCAAGCTTCCCTTCTGGCTGCTAATTAATAGGTACACAGCACCTCAAAGAAACTTCTCTTCCTTGGCCTAAGGGAATGTGTTTTCATTATGCTGGACATTCATAATTTTAAAACAATTGACCTGAAGTCCTCTGCCACATGTGTGTAGTGTAGGGTTTGACCTGTTGTCTCATCACCTCACCACACACCACCAAGTTCCCTGAAGTATGAAACCCAACGACACAAGCACACTGTTCAAACTCTGTGTGACAGTGGGTTAAAGCACCACAGAAACTGTGCGGAGGATCTGTAAAAAATCTATCTTTGCAATTCTTCTGACATATGCACTCTTCATAAAAAAAAGACAAAAAAAACTGGAGAAACAGCGGAGCCTACAGGAAAGAAGCCCCTGGCCACAGCCTCAGCTCTTCCTGTCTGTGGGAAGCATCACAGCACCTGGGGGGTGGGGCTCCTATCTTCACTCAGACCTGCACAGACTCGGACACCCACACCACCACTGGGCTCACAGGACGCAGCCGCACCAGAGTGGGGACTCACCTGCCCTGTCCCATGGGGAGGCCTGGTTCTGCCAGACACACAGTCTACACAGGGAGCCAAGTCTGCTGCTGCTCTGAGGGTCCCTCCATCCATAAAGCTGGAGTCTTGGCCTTGGAGGGGTTACCCCAAAGCCTAAGGCAGAACCAGGGTGCTTCTGGATGCACTCACCACTGTGTGCACAGGGGTCAGCTCACCAGTCCCAAGACCACCACAGGCTGCCCAGAAACCAGGAAGAGAAAATGAGATGCCGCTGAAAACTCAGTGAAACAGTGACTTCAAAGCAGAATGTTTTACATACTCACAGAGGGAAGGCACAAGGGAAAATGAGAGAGACATGCACACGTGTGTGTCTGTACACAAAAACATGCCACCATAGAAGGTAACATGTAATCCCTACAATACGGTATAGATCATACACAGCAGTACCTTGGTTCACAAACTTCAGTCTTTCCATGATTCTGGTGAAAAGCTGAGTTGGATGCGAACTGAATCAATTTCCATGGGTAGGTTCAGTGTTGACTTATGGGGAAATCTGATTTGGTTCTCATCCAATTCAGTTTGCAACCAAAAATGTGAAAACAATTACGTTCGTGAACCGAGGTGCCACTCTGTGATACTAATGTATTAGTACATCATCTATTATCTACTTTATAGGTGTAGTTTTCTGTGAATATTAAACTTCATAAATTTTATGTTTTCATATATTGACATATACACATACTACGTAGCTTTATGCACACACACATATATGTGCATGTGTGTAAACATATACACACTAAGAGTCAAGGGATGTGGAATTTTAACTTTACACAAACTATTTCACATCCCAAATTAATTTCTCAGGCCTAGCATAATCTTGGCATCCAAGCCAAATGTTGCCTCTATAAGAAAGGATAATTTCAGGCTAATTTCTCTCATTTAGAGTGGTGACAAGTTTACATATAAAATATTTAGCTAAGTGAGTGCAACAGTATGTTGG